AAAAAAAACAAAAACGTACCCACTCAAGTTCCAATCAAAATCACTTATTTGCACACAGTAATCAACTATGATACATAAATGCACAAAGTGAAGACTAGAACAGCAGCAATTAAGTACAATTTGGAGTTAAGCTTAACTTTTCGACATAATACTGCTTGAACCAGGCTTTCCCACAAGCTATACACAATGAAACAACACATCACATATAAAAGATAAAACCAGCGAAAGGGCACAAGAAAGACAGTTGAAAAGTGCCCTAGTCAAGAAGCAATAAATCAAAATTGAGATCAGCGGAATCCCCGCCACTGGATTGTTGTTTATTGTACATCTGCATAAGTGTGGGCGAATCCTTTATGGATCTTGGTTTGATCACAGCTTGGAATTTAGTTGGCTCTGGCAGCTTGGACAAAATAACTTCAACAACTGTACACATCTGTATCAGTTGCTCGAACTTTCCTAGAACGAATAGGGAGAAAATATTGAATCAAGTATATACGAACGCATACTACTCACCATCTTCATTCTCCCAGTAAAGAATGAGCCTGTTTGGGTTTTCCAGAAATGATGGTGCCTGCCTCATTTCAAGTGTCTGAAAATAAAAATATAAACATCGTATAACTCCACAAGAACAAATCTTACGTTGATATAGACACGCTTGATTACACCGTATTTGAACAGGAGAACATCAAAGGCAGCATCTAAGACATTTACAACGACTCCTTTTGCTTCCATCGGCCCCACTCTCTAAAAAATATTGCTTCACAACTTTGTTTTCCCAAATAAAACTCCTTACATGTATGAGTACTCCAAAGAACAACTCTGCACTGGATTCACTAACTTTCTTTGCTATCAGTTTCTTGTCATTGCAATGCTCTGCCTAAAAAGTTTTTGATGGAGCGAAAGCAAACCCATAAACAAATTAATAAACAAGGAGAATCAACAAACTGATGATTTTGACGAAAATTTAAGCTTACAATTTTTTGAATTTCCTCTACAGTTCGCTCCGAGGGCTCACAATAACCCAAAGCCGCAGCTAACGATCGATGCACGATTATATCCGGATAGCGACGAATGGGTGATGTAAAATGTGTGTAGCTGAAAATAAACGTAACCCCCTACCGTAGCAATGCAAACGTATTCTTCAAAAAA